CTCTTTCCCAAGTGCTTTCTCCCAGACAAAGCTGAGCTTGACCTGCTGAGATGGCAAAAAAGCTCTTTTAAAAGAGCAAAACAAGTAGTGTTTACATTTCTTTCCCTGCACCTCCAGTCAAAGCCCAGCCCAGCTCTGGCTGTAGCTGTATTCTGAGTGTTACATCTGTTTCCATCTCCCACTCCCCTTTTACTTTGTTACTGCTAACCAAGAAGCCTTTGTATTTTGCATTGCATTTAATTCCATAGCAACAGGTTGCTGCTGTGACAGCAGATGGTGATTGCTTTTGAATTGTCTTTCAGGCAAGCTCCAGAACAAATACAAAAGAGCAGATCTTTCATGGCTCATATCAAAGCTAGCCAGTGGCAAACCCTCCAGAGCTGGTATTTAAAGTCCCAGCGTCCCATATAAAACCTGAATCAACAAAACTGAAAGGGATTTCATTCACACACTTGCTTTATTCCTGTCCTGCTCATCAAACAGTAATTTCTACCCTGAATTGGCTTCCCAAAAGGCTCTTTAATGAACTTTTTTCTATAGAGCTTTACATTTGTATGTGCCCAGCTTATGTCAGCTAACACTGCTGCCCACCCAGCTCCCGCAGGCAAGGGCACATGTTCTCAGTCTCCTTTACAGCTCAGAAACTCAGGCCCCAAATCCCTTTCAGACCATGCATAACACTCATAGGAAGTTTTGCTTCCTAAGCTCCTGGCAATAAGGGGAGACAATTATGAATGTGCAAGGTTGTTGTGTTTTGCCTGGTGTCTGTTAGCTGATCTGAGCGATGCTCTCACGCTCCCCATCCTCAGCAAAGCTGGAACTGCTAGTCTTGTAGTGGGGGAAGCCCAGACCCTTCCCAAAGCAGGCGTGGATCAGATCCCAGCTCCTTTGTAATCAGGAGATGTGCATGGAAGAGAAGTGTGAACAGGAGCCCCAGCTGGAAAGCCCATCTTGCCTGTCAGTGGGCCCCTTTCTTGGGAGCTGCAGCAGCCAAGAGAAGGCAAATAAAGAAAACAGAAGTATAAATTCTTCTAGTCTTCCTTAGACATTACTGGCTTTCCCTGCAGGAGTATGGCTGTGTCTGGGATGGCCCCCCTCAACCTATTTGGAATGTATTAGCATTACAGACTTGCAAGGTGTCTTAGAATCATGGCACGGTCAAGTTGAGTGAGAGCAGCCGCAGAGAAGGAGACACATGATGTCCTCAGGACATAAGGAGCCCTGGATTTCATTCCCAGATCTACCACTAACCTTGGACAAGACATTTGACATTGTGCCTCAGTTTCCCAAATGCTGAAGCAATAATAATTACAGCTGGGCTGGCTGCTTAGGAGGTTGTTTGTGAACCGCCCCATAGAGCACCAACCCTGTTATTATTCCTCAGCCCTGTTATTAGACCTAAATCCAACTTGCTTAAGAACGAAGACTCCTGTGAAAAACACACAAACGGTTTCCCAGATCATCATTTTTATTAAACTTTGCAGGCAGCTGGAGGAAAAAAAAACACAACCAACCCTAGAAAATGTAAATAAACGTCATTCAGAGCATCACAGACCAGCTGGGCACAAAGTGTATTCTCTTCCCGGCAGCAACAGGCGCTCACTGCTCCGAAAAGACCTTTGTTGTTTGAAGCCGTGTCAAGACTTTTCATCACATTGCATCATTCAGCTGGCCAGGCTACAGCTTCACCTAATCCAGGGGCGAAAGGCAAACCTGGAGCATCTGCAGAACTCGATCTGCTGCAGAGAGAAGCAGGATGCTGAGGCGGTACAGGATCAGCCTTTGGTGGTGGCCAGCCCTGGAAGAGGCCAGGCCAGAAGCTGCATCCCTGTATAGACAGCCAAAATCCACGTGCCCTCCTCCACAGTGTGAATGAGGAGCGGCCCAGGCTGATGGATAAACGCAAACACAGTCGGCAGCCAACACACACGGATAACCTGGCAGACAACATGCCACCAGACAAGCTCCCACTGCTTCAAGGTAGAGTCAGGATGAATGGCACAGTGGGAAGGAGGGGATCAATCCCCACCCTGCTCTGCCATGCTCCCCCCAGTTCACTCCTTTTCCCTCCGAGACCTGGCTAGAGGCACAGGCTTTCCCCGCTGCACCTCTGCTCCTGCTCATTTGCTAATTACGCCCTCACCCACGCGCTGCTGGGCGAGCGCGGTGGGGAAGCTCAGAAGACCGGCTCTGAGCACGCGGTGAGTTTTATCTGCTGAATATCTGGGCAGCGGTGCCGGTGCCTTGGCACGCTAACAGAGCTGCTGTGCTCTTCCCAGCAGCTGTGCACAGGGAGCTGCCTGCCCTCTGAATAAATTGCAACCGGCTGCGGCAAGGAAAGGGTTGTGGGTAGCAGGGGTAAAGGGCCCAAAGTGCAAAGCAAAAGGCACCTGCCCTGTTTTGCTGAGGTACCCAGTGCTCCCATGCTTTAATGTTTTGGCTGCCATCACCTCCACAGAAGAGCCAGGGGATGGGGGAGAGGCAGGTGCTCTCTGCTGGGCTGCTCCAGCCCCTTTTCCCTTTAAAAAATACTTCCAATTCACCCAAACAGCAGCCCTTGCCGTGTTAAAAAAATATCTCTTAGCCCTCTCAACTGAGTAACAAAAAGCACCTAACAGCAACACATGCTGTGCTTGCCAAGGGATGCAGCCTGGTGCCCACCCTCCATCTCCCCAGTGCTCTCAGTCCACCAGCACCCATGAGCTGTCCCCATATCCCCGTACCCAGCCCCATCCCAGCAGCCAGTGCTTCCAGCTCCTCACTGTCCCTGTGCAGCAGCCAGTGGTGAGGCTGGGTGGCCCTTTGTGCCCCCATGTTGTGGGGCTGGTGGCAGAGCCAGCTGTGCTTCCTGCTTCTGGTGCGGGGAAGGGATGAGAAAGGCTCCTCAGAGTCCTGTGCTGGAGGACAGGAGGGGACTCAGCAGCTGCGCTGAGTCCAGCAGCGAGACCAGGGACATGGATGTGACTCTGGCACCTGGGGAGGGAAAGACAAAGCTCATTATTAACAGATGTGATGCTTGGTTTAGCTGTTGCAGGGCACAGCTGGCACAATGCACCAGAAAAGCGGTTGCACATTGGCAGTATTGGGGTAACCAGCCCACCCAGAATCCCAGACACGTGATGGTGGAAAGCAGCTGGTTTACTGGAGTTTGGGGTGTGTTCTTTCACAGGATAGGGGAGAGAGTGGGTGTTCAGCTGGGGAGGGCTCAGAACACCGGGGAGCTGGGCAGAGCCAGCCAGGAAACTTCTGTAGACGTGACAAGGGAATGAAAAGTTGAGGGAAATAGAGTTCTAGCTTCTTTTTTTTTTTTTTTTTTTTAATATAGATATTTTTTTAGGGCAGGGAGGAGGGCCCAAGAACTTGAACAGACAAAACAAAAAGACCCTTTTTCTCTTTTTCCACCCGTTCCTCCAAAACCATCCATATGACTGATGTTTCCACGGGGTTGATTAATCCAGTCTGGGACCAAGCTCAGACTGCACATGTTTCCATCTGCCCAGGGTTAGGAAAAGCCTGATTTTCATCGACTTTCCTCCCCAGGCCAGCCACTCCCTTCCAACACTCCTGATAAACTGGCTTCAGAGACAACCAGCTGCTTCGAAAGAGCAGCAACAGCAAAAAAACTGCAGTCCCTGTTTATCTGGCCTTGCTATTATGCACATGCAAATGGTTTCCCTAGGAGCCACGGAGAGGAACTGGCTGTGACTTTCTTTCACAGGATAGGGGAGAGAGTGGGTGTTCAGCTGGGGAGGGCTCAGAACACCGGGGAGCTGGGCAGAGCCAGCCAGGAAACTTCTGTAGACGTGACAAGGGAATGAAAAGTTGAGGGAAATAGAGTTCTAGCTTCTTTTTTTTTTTTTTTTTTTAATATAGATATTTTTTTAGGGCAGGGAGGAGGGCCCAAGAACTTGAACAGACAAAACAAAAAGACCCTTTTTCTCTTTTTCCACCCGTTCCTCCAAAACCATCCATATGACTGATGTTTCCACGGGGTTGATTAATCCAGTCTGGGACCAAGCTCAGACTGCACATGTTTCCATCTGCCCAGGGTTAGGAAAAGCCTGATTTTCATCGACTTTCCTCCCCAGGCCAGCCACTCCCTTCCAACACTCCTGATAAACTGGCTTCAGAGACAACCAGCTGCTTCGAAAGAGCAGCAACAGCAAAAAAACTGCAGTCCCTGTTTATCTGGCCTTGCTATTATGCACATGCAAATGGTTTCCCTAGGAGCCACGGAGAGGAACTGGCTGTGACTTTGTTCTGGCAATACCAGTGAGGCTGTACAGGTTGCAAGCAAACCAACCCAGCAGCATGCAGGTAAACTGCAGCATTTAGGAGCTGGGAGATTATCCTGAGGATTTTGTAGGCTGCTGGGAGCCAGGAGCAATCCGTGGCAAGAAAACCCTGCAGCTTCTTAAGAGGTAAATTCTGACCAAGTGCTGCTCCATGTGCAAGAAAAGCCAAACCAGGCAGCAGTAAAACTGCCTTTGCAAAAAGTCTTGTTATCGAAGCTGTAATTAAGTAATCAGGAAAAGTCACTGAACAGATCCAAAATTTAAGTGTAACTGTGGCACCAGAATACAGTTCTGGGTCTCGCACAGTGCCTAAATCCTTGCAGGAGCTCTGGGGCCAAAGTTCACCTTTTAGGTACCAGAGCAGCCACAAAACTTGCAGCCTCAGCTGCTGAGCCACCCAACAGTGGGCACCAGCCCCCTTGCAGTGCCACCTTGCAGCCTTCGCAGGAGCCAAATCCACTAAATGGCTCAGGTGAGAGCCACAAAATGGGCTCTTGAGCTTTCAGATGAGCCTGAGGAATAAGTGCCTGAGCAGTGCGGGGCCACCAGTCTCAGCTTCCTAACACCTAGACCATGAGGAGGGTCCTGCAGGAGCTGAAAGGCACCAGGAGGGGAACACATGGCTCCAAGCTGCTACATAACTGTTTGTTTTGAGATGGGAACTCTTAACATCTCCACCCCAGAGGAGTGTTGTAGCTCAGAAACCAGCACAGAAGGATGCAGCAACTTCCCTCTCCATCTCATCTTCCCTATGTGCAATCTGTGAGCAGCTCCCTCTTCCCCAGTAACCATCCTCATTCCTAGCTGAAGACTATCCTCTCTGGCCCAAGCTCATCTGTTACTCTGCCCAATGAAAATGGAAGCATCACACAGGACAGATGGTTGGAGAAGCCACTTTGAATTTGGAGACAGGCAGCTTGGAGAACCTGTTCCTGGTACTGCCTGAAATCACCTCCTTGGAGGTGTGGAGTTGTCCTTATCAACTGTCATGGCCCAGGACTGCAACAAACCACCCAACATCGTCCCCTAAGCTCCTGGCTGGGCTTTACCTGTGTTTATAAACACGAGAGTCTTTATTAGCAGAATGCTAGTATTTTATTTCCCTTTTGTAACAATTTGCCTCCTCGTGGCTCCATCACCATGGGTGGGAGGAGACCAGGCTTGCACGTTTCATATTGCTAATCACACTTGATCCCTGGAATTAACTGCCAGCAATAAACCCTAAATTAATGTCGCATGGCATCCTTGGCAGGGGCCCTGGGACCTCTGCCGGAAGGTGCCCTGGCTCCAGCTGGGAAGGGTGAAGGCCATGCCCCTGAGGAAACATTTCCAGCTGATCAGCTTTATGCTTTAAATGAAAAGCAGCTTGCTGTTTTCTGATCAACATTTATCAAGGATGTATTATTTGGATTTCAGGGCTAGTACTGAATGCAACCTCACCAGTTTATAGGCAAGAAGGCTGCCTTTTTCATGAGTACAAAGTGCTATTTCCAACTGTGTGATTGCCCAGGCCTTTCCCCACTCCCCCAGCTTGCTCTGTTCTGAGGGCATCTTGGATGGTCCCTCCTGAGCCTTCTACAGCTAAGGAGTTGCCATAGGATTACCATTCCCAAGGCACACCAGCACCTGGGCACGTGCTGGCCAGCCTGCCTTCTGGGTGCCCCTTGAAGGATCCCACGGGGACCAAAATGGGTGTTGCAAAGGTGACCTTGCATGGTGGGAGCTGAAAGGCAGAAGATCCGCAACAAGACCTGCTGTAGGATAAGGCAGTAGTTGCAAGACTCTATAGCCAGATACCCCAGTTTCTGAGCTCAGTTTTGGCACGGGTGCAGGCAAGTCAGCCAAGTAAAGCATGTGGGACATGGCTGGTGTGGTGTGGACTACACATTTAGGTCTGGCCTTCACTCATCAGTCTCAGTACTTTATTTAAGGAGCTGTCACCATGGCTGAGGCCGTAACAATAACTTAGGTTTCTTTAAAAAAAATCTCTAGAAAAATGGAGTAAAGAGACATGCTGTCTGGCAAGAACTCATGTATTTTAAATACTTCTTTTAACTGAAGAGTGGAGGCAAAGCCAAAAAAGCACATAAAACCCTCACACAGTGACTTTTCACCAGTTTTATTTGTAGGTTGGCTTATTACAGTTCCTAGCTTTCTTATGATTGTGCCAGACTCCAGTTTACAGAGGGGGAAAATCTATATAACCCCCACAAAGCTGTTCATTAAGTCTGAACAACCCAAATACTGTACAGGGGGAAAAGGCAGGAGAGGAAAATAATGTCTGTCTTGAGAGACTGCTTTTTATTCCATGGCTGAACAATCAACTCCCACCTCAAAATAGTCCCTGTTTCTATTCCCAGCAGTGTAGCTGGTGTTGAGTTTTAATATTCAGATGCATCTGCTACCAGAGAAAATTAATTTTCAGCTCTACAATGGCTCTTAAAGGGAGGCCCCATTGACCTGAGTTGAAAATTATGGAGTCCTCAAACTCTTTGCTGCAATATTTAATAGTTAATTAGATTACTAAGTCACTGTGACAGATGCTAGGCAACGCCTGAGGAGGAGAATTTGGAAAGGCCATTATCTTCCAGTGCTGGGAAAGCTGTCAGATATCTCATTTTAACCCTTTCCATTCTTGCCCTGCCCTCACTGTGGTCCAGCTCGTGTTAAAACCAGGTGTTTCACAAATCAAAGGCCAGCATAATGTTCTGGATGGATAAAAGAGGGTGGTCATGCTGGGCAAATGCCTGGCAGCGGTGTCAGGAGCTCCTCCTTGGTTCCCAGCTGGCATCAAGAGAGATGATCACTGGGAGATGCCAGTAATTTCACCTGATGGGCAATTCCCAGGCACACCAACCACACCAAGTGGGAAGTAGGGAAGTGTGAGGGTGGTAGAAGGGCAGCATTCTTTCTTCCCTGTATTAAGTGAAGTGGATTTTGATGAGTCTATGGGAGAATTTCCCTGCCTACAGTCCCCACCTTCCAAACAAACCCGTAAGTGAAAGCTTGTCAATCCTGCCCCCCTACAAAAGGGTTTCCCAGCTCCTTCAGCGAGCTGGGAGGTAGTGTCCAATCACTAAAGCAGGGTTGTGTGTGTTGTCAGCACCATGAAACCTGCACTAAGCTAGCAGAGGTGTCATGGACTTCCTGGGAAGTTGATGCTAACCGAGTGTTGCCTGTTTGATTTCACAATCCAAGCTGGGAATAGTTTTTGGCCTTTGTCTGCCCAGTTGCATGAGGGTACACATTGGTGAAGACATACAGAGCTCTGTGGAGCAAAGCTGGTAACCAGAATGGCAACAAAGCATCCCACTGGGGAGGAACCAACAGTCCTGTCCCAATGGCTTTGCAATAGCACCTTCTACGACCAAGTGAGAACTGAAGCACCAGAATGTGATGAGGACATCAAGAGTTTCCACCAACTATCTTACTCTCACACACCCCAAAACACCAATAAACACATTCTTCTTCTGGTTACAAAACCCCTTCCCTCCCACTCAGGTCTCACACAGAAGTCTCAGAAGTTCTGATTTAACAAGCAACAGTCTGGATGTTAAATAAATATCAGGACCATCAAATGCACTGTGGCTTCTACACTTCTGCTACCCACTGAAATGAAAATACAGAGCACAAAAAGAGTTGCAAGAACCACTAGTATCCCAAGGATCACTTGCCTGCATATTCACTAGCTCCAAATAAATCACCCAGATATCCAGCAAAAATATCTAACTACCCGCAACCACCCATGGAGATTTTGCTTCAGATACTGAGGGAACCATCCAGAAATTAAAGACCTGGGAGCTACCTAAACTTACAACACGGCAGATATTATTATGCTTTTCTGGCACTGCATCCCACCTTTAAATACACCCTTCTCATAAAACATGAGGAACCTGGAACCTGTGGCTTCAGCGTGGTGTGTGGAGATACACCTGAGGCAAGACAGCAAGTTTCAATTTAAGAGAAGACCCTTACCTCATTGACCTCCTGGATACAAGCCCCCAGGCCCTGACCCTCATCATGATGGCAAGTGCTTCCAGGTGCTGACAAAAGCAGTGGGGATGAGCGAGTAAGGCACCGTTGTGATACAGTTCCATGTGTCTGATGTAGGGTCATAGCAGTCCAGCGTTTTGCACCTCTGAGTCCCAAAGTAACCCCCCACCACATAGAGTTTATTCCCCGAGGCCAAAGCATGGCACGACATGCGCTTGGCTGTCATGTCCCCAATGCGTGTCCACTGGTCCGTCTCGCAGTCAAAGCGGTAGGCAGATGCTGCCGTGAACTCAGTGTCTCCTCCCATGATGAAGATCTGGCTGCCCAGGACCGCAGCTGCCGTGTAGCGCCAGGGCTGTGGGCACTCGGCCTTGATCATCCACCGATTCTCAGCTGGATCATAGCACTGGACTTTGGACACCATGTCTCGGTGAATGCTGGTCCCACCAAAGACAAAAAGCTTGAGCCTGGCGCTCACCACCGCAGCGTTGCTCACTCCATCTCTCAAAGGAGCCACCATAGTCCATTTGTTGGATATGGGATCATACTTCTCTACTTGCTTCAAGGAAACAGAAGGAGATGCAGGAAAGACTCCAGCTACTGCAGTATGTCCACCAACCACATACAGGCAGTTCTCCAGTTCAGCCGAGCCATGGCCAAATCGAGCAATTAACATGGGCGCAGCCTTTGACCATTCCTCATGGACAGTGTCATACACCCACACGTCTTTTGAGACCCCGTTTTCTGAGCCCCGGCCTCCAGTGATATATACTTTGCAGCCAATGGCACAGGCACTAAACTCCTTCCGTGGACTCGGCAGGTCTGCTTTGGGGATAATTTCCTTTGCTTTGTGATCCACTTGGTAGATCTTATCACACATGAAGGTCTGTCCTCCCAGGATCAGCAAGGTATGCCCAGCTTTGCGAGGCCTGGCACAGGGACTGGTGACCACTCCATCATTCTGGAGGATCTTCTTCTTGCACTGAATAGCTTCATCCAAGACAAGCTTGTTCCTTTCATCCACCATGATCAAGTCCTCACAAGCTAAGGCTTCCTTGAGGCATTCAGAAGGAAGCAAGGCCAGACGAACGTTCTTCAGAAGTTCTGGGAGATAAGCTTTCCGCTCATCCAGATCATATTTCACCCACTGGATGACAGCCTTGAAGACCTTTTCTTCATCCTCAATTTCCAGCTCATCACTGGAAATGAGGTCCAGCAGAGTGTCCTTGGAAAGGTTGTTGAAGTCCTCACTCTTGTGAACAGTCTCAAAGTTGACCAGGCACATCCTCCAGGAAAGCTCATAGAGCCGCCGGCACTGATGAGCATCTGAGAGCAGCATCATGCCCAGGCAGTTGGAAGGGTAGAGGTTCTTCTCCAGGAACTCAGCTGCCGCATCTCGGACATCATGGAACTGGAGCATGTCTCCAGCCTCCAGCAGGGACTCGGCATTCTCCTCATTGATGATGATCCGAGAGGAGTAAGCAAAGTCCAGCAGTAGCTCCAGCACCTCTGGGTGGAGGCTGTCATGGAAGTTCACCTCATCATCCAGGCTTTCCCGGAGGCCATTGCTAAACATGGCTTCAAAGTATCTGCTGGAGGCAGCCAGCACTGCCCGGTGACATGGGAACGATCGGTTTCCCGCCCAAAGGGTGACATCAGTGAACATGCAGTGCTTCCGCAGGGTGTTCAGATGGGACAAGACACAGTCTGGGTGGGAAGCTTTGTGAAACAGCAAGATGTTCATGGAGCCGGTGCTAGTCCGGGATTTACGGTTTTCGTGGACACTGACTGACATGGTGACAGAGCTCTTGCCTGCAGAGGAACAAAGAGAAAAAAACCATCATTCTCTTGTTTTTACTGATGTAAGGCATGGAGAAAAATGCATTCCTGGTGCACTGTCAGTAGTGGATTTCAAACCTGAAGCACCAGGTGACACACCGGTGTTCCTGCTCTGCGGGTGCTCCTGCAGCCTGGCTTGCAGAGCCTGTGCCTCCAGCACCCTCACACCCTCCAAAAACTGAACTCAGGCTGAGCAGAGTGGGAAGGCAGAGCAGGGTGAAGGGAGGAATTCTGCACTTTGGTTTCTGCAATGGAGCAACAAAGTGAAGCAATCAAAACCCAAACTTGACATTAAATTGTTTCAACAGCCCCTAGAGGGTATTGGCAAACCACAGAAGAGTTATTTTTCCTTAGAAAACAGCATTAAGAGAGCAGTGTATCCAGGATAAAGGGCACTGGTCTGTTCTTGGTTTTGCAGAAATCAACTTTGGCTTCTGATTTTTAGGAAGATAACTGCAGATTTAAGAAAGGCAATTGCTACAGGTTTTATTTATGGAATATTTAGCTACCAGAACAAGCCAAAGTTTTGAACAAATTGTACCAAACCCTGTCATTGTAGTTCTTGTTGATAAAAGTCAAAAGACACTTCATGTGACTTAAATGTTTTGCAGGACAGACTCACATCACAGAATAAGACAAGAGACAGCTGAATTACGCTTTTTAACAGACAGGCAGAAGCAAACACAAGTAGCTACTATTTTATTTAAGCACTACCCGATACCTACCCTTGCCTGTAGAAGAAAAACCCTTTAGACCAATCACATTAATACTACTTAGATGATGAAATCCACGTTGTTTTCTCCAAAATATTTACCCAGCTCTGTTTGGTCCCCCATGCAACTAAAGTAGACAGGCAGATCTGCATGCAGTCCTCCTCTCTTACAGCAGAAAGTCAGCACTGAAGTCAGGAGCATGATTGTCCTGAGGTTTCAAAAATTAGCAGGAAGGACCCAGTTTGGATGCACAGAGCATCAGGGTCTGCTGCCTCCAGCTCAGCTTCCCTGCCAGCACCAAGCAGTTGTAAGGAACACCTACAAGGTAGGGAGAGTAGGCCTAATTCACAGAAAAAAAGGGTTGCCTGAGAAACACTGTCTGCCTCTGCTACATCATCTCTACCACCCAGCATTTTTCTACCTCCTTTCTACCTCATCTTCCAAAAAATACTGCAGTTTTGCTTTGCAGGCTGGAGACATCAGGGCTGAAATCCCATGGCATCCTGCTCCAGCCACCAAATTGTTTAGAAACACAGATACAGTTAAGGAATGTTTCTTGTTGGGTTCTTTTTTTTGTGTGTGTTGTTTGATTGGTATTTTACCTTGTTTTTCACAGCCTGAGGTCTTTCTCAAGAGTCTTTCTCCGCTGCAAGCACAAAGTCTACCGATCAGTCCTGTCTTCCCCAGCAAAGCTGAGTTCATCCCTGTACACCCCAGCCCAGCACGCAGGGTCCTGGGGGAAACCACAGAATGCCAAGAGAGCAGACGCAGCATTCCCAGGCTGCCAGTGGGTCGCAGCCCTGACCCGGCAGAGACCTGGAGCTGCACAGCCCTCCCACGCTCCACGGGTGGATGACCTCAAGCAGAGGCAGATGGCCAGATAAGCTGCCTGACTCAGGCTCTGCTCACAAGCTTCCTACCTCCCGCTTCTCCAGCACCTGCAAAAGAGTCCAAATTGAACAAGCAATTGTGGGCACGTCCCTCCTGCCTCACCTCCTGCCGTGAATTATTGATGCTCGTGCTCCCAAGGTCTAACTCATTCCTCAGGGCTGTGTTGCAGTCCAGGCAAAAGGTCCTTCAGGGCTTCTCCATGCAGAAAAGATAGCTTGCCCAAGCAGCCACAAATCCTACCTGGCCTCCAAGGCAGGCAGCAGCATTGCCGTGGGTGTTGGGATTGGACACGGGCATGCTCCTCACCAAAATCCCTGCAGCCCAGGCTTGAGGCTGCCAAGCTCATTTTGCTCATGATCAGAGGCTGCGAGGAATCAAGGCTCCAAAATAGGAAGGAAAATACCATTACGGAGCTGCACTTTGAAGTGCATCTGAGGGAAATGGTTTCCAATGTCTACACCCAGCACAGGGTCAACACCAATTTAAGAGGTGATACAGATTTGCGTGTCAAAGCTCTTATAAGACCGAAGCAAGGAATACAAATGAAACATTTATGAGCCTGCTAAAAGCTATTGATTTAGGTTTCTATTCCCACAACCTCAGAAACCACCTTCTCATTGCTGCTGCTTTGTTTGCTTGCAGTTCAGGTCAGCTGTTCAATATTAACCTTTGATTTGCTTATGCACAAGAAATTAAGCAATTTATATAGGACCGCAATGGAAACAATAAAAAAAAAATTGCAGGAAGGCAGAATCATTTTTTCTAATACTAAGATTAGAAAAGCCACTACTGAGAATGGAAGGTGAAGGTCATTTAGAAATGAAAAAATGTCTATATAAAAGCTGCAGCAGAGCCACTTTGTATCTATATACAGACAAATACATGTATACACACACATTCTCATATATATATAAATAAATATAAAATCTCAGGCTTCTAACATCAAACATCTTGCCCAGGGCACTGGGTAACCAAATAATATTTCTACGCAACAGGTATTGAACAGCATCTAGGGAATGAATTGGCGAGTTCCAGTCCCTATTAGCACTGTTGTTCATAATACCTTGTACAGCTGCAAGCCTGAAAGCTAGAGAGGCCACAACCCCTTTACTTGGTCTCTCCTGGAGCCAGGTTATGACATTGGAGGTCACTAGTCACAGATCAGCAGGGCTAGACAGACTGTTAAATTGAAACTAAAGCAGCTTCTCAACTCTAGTGTGCAGCCATCTCACCAGCAAGGCTTGCTTGTGGTTTTCAACAACCTCCAAACAGCTTGTTTTGAGGGTTTCTTGAATCCTAGCATAGCTGGGCACAAGGAGAAAAGTGGCAGGTACTAATTCTTCCCCTCACAAACACACCCCATTGTATCTCTCAGGCTACCAGAGAACTTGGCATCATCCCACCCGAATGAGATGAACAGAAACTGCAGGCAGCAGCTATTTCATCTGATGGGTTTCGTCCAAGATTTAGCTGCCTTATAAACCTCAAAAGCCTGTAACTAACAGGATCTTTTACAATTTTCATGATGTGTAAAAGCATATGCTTCAAGTTAAGCAAAGTTTAAGTGAAGTGATGAACAGGCTGGACACATGATATGCTCTTACAGGCACTTCTCAGCAGCAGATGCATGCAGAGCAGAATTTGGCCCTTGCCCCATTCCTTGCTTCACTTACCCAGCTACTGAGCTAAAGAGAAAAAACAGAATAAGGAGTATTTTACACAAAGAAACCTGTCAGTGGCTTCTGCCAAGCTCCCACCTGCTCTGAGAGAGCTCAGGGGGTTATCAGAGCTCCCAGCTGCATCTTCCATCACGCAGGAAGCTATCACTGGAACAGACGTGTCAACACCAACAGCAGAAGCCATGACCTGAACAAACGGGGTCTTGGATTTCTCCACACTGCTTTCATTTTTCCTTCCTTCAAAAGGCAGTTATTGAAAAAAATAAGTATCTACTCTATATCCTTTAAGAAGGATCTTTGTGCATGCAGAGGCAGATGATAACCCTTCTTCCATATGGATGAGAGCAGAGGGGCATGAGCTTTTTGACAGCTATCCAACACTGTCTGCTGGCTACAATATTCCCCTGGCTGTCTGCAGCCTTTGTACAGCAGATATAGGAAAGACAGGATTTTTCCAGCAGAGCAAGATAATGGTGCTTTGGAAATCCTTTCACTCACCCACACAGGGCAGACAGCAACCCAGAAGGAGTTTGGCTGAGGGAGAAAAGATCCCTCAAATATCAGCACATGAGGAAAACAACCCAGCAGCCTCTGTGGACAGGACAAAGCTGGCAAAGAGAACAAGGGGCAAAAACAAACCACCAAGCTGAAAAATCTCCCCACCCGAACAACAGCCACAGTTCTCCTGTCCAAGTGCCTCTTGCTTCATACAAACTGTGCCTCAGCAGAAGGCTGACCTCCCAGGCTGGTGGGTCGCCATGTCAGAGTCTTGCCCGTATGGGTCATTTAGGAGACCCCCAGGAGACACTCTGTTACCTCTTGAAAAATCCAAGCAGGACTTAGAAATCAGACACTTTGAAGCTTTATCAGGCCCTGGTCCCCAGTCACAAAAGAAGCACATAGGAGAGAACAGCTCAAAATGACTATTGATACACGGACTATATTGAGCGAGGCTTGGGGTTCCCCCTCCATCATAAAGCAGCAGGCTGTCCATAAATCTCCCATTTCATTCGCTATCTACAGGGAATAATGAGCTGAAATGCTGCTTCCTTTCAAGAGGACAATATTTGGGAGTGAATAAGATGTTCCCCAGTGGGACTTCAGGGGATCAAGAATCATTTCTGCTTAGAAGTGCAAAACTACAGGGTTTATAAGTGTTCTCCCAAGACTGTGAAGGTTGGCTAAACACCAACAAAGAGCCCAAATCCCATGAACCAAAGCTGGCACTTTCTATTTGCCAATCAGACTTTCAGAGAAGCAGCAAGCAGAACACATTTCTTTTTGTCCCATTCAATCACGAACCATTTAAGGCTATAAATAAGTAAATAAAGAAGCAGTAAGCTTCCTCACTGGCTGAGCAGAGAAGACCTTGAAGAAGCTGCTTATACTGCAGCAAACATTGATTCCCAAGCAGTCAGCCATACAGGCCCTCCATGTAAGGACTGCACTCCACCTATAGTCACTCCTTCCAAACCAGAGTAGACCCACCTCAAGCAGCCAGAGATGTCTACTTTTGCAGGGAGACAGGCATAAGAGTAATTTTTTTTCTCTCCCATTTCACAGTATCAAATCTTTGGGATGAAATACCATCTCAAATTCAGCCAAAGTTCAGTTTCTCCTTGGAAGCACTGGGATAAATTCTATACCATTAGTAATGTGCCTGCTTTCTCATC